CTTACCTCACCTTTCACCATTCCTGAATACCTGCTAAAGTATCTAACAGTAAAAATGTACCATTTTTTACTCTCAGTGCTCTGCATATGATTTTCTGCTACTGGCAAAACATTTTAATTCTTATGCCCCTTCAAGAACCATCTAATTGGGCAACTTCTCCTGAATTAGAGTGACATTAAACAGCCTGTAGACTAGGCTACCATCACTCCTCCCATAAGGTACACACACAGACAGACACACAAATGGGGCTGGCACAAGATAACCTGACAGAGGTGGCTTACCTAGATCTATCAAGGTTTTTATTAGTTACACTAGAGGTCTGATGCACCAAGAATCGAGCAAGAATGGGCCTTCCTTCCCCTGCTGCTGGCACTGACTTCACTAGCCCAGAGCCACCTTTCTGCCTTCCCATGCTGCCCAGAGGCCCAGAGTGGCTAGGGCGGTGTGGAATGCCTGCATCATTGCCATGGCAAAAACACAAGCACCTTGCCCCTGACCACTCAGAGCCTGCATATGCAAATTAACCTGCCATCTTTGTTGTTTTAATTTGCATACTCACTCCTAATTGGCTGGTGGGCATCAGGAAGGTACAATCAATTTGCATCTTTCTCTTTTATTAGTGTAAACTAGTGGCCTGGGGCATGAAATTCATGCACAGGGGGAGGGGTGCAGCTCAGCCTGCACCTTCTCTAATTTGGGACACTTCAATGGATATCCTACTGCCAGTTTACAGGGATCGGGCCTAAACCGGCAGTCAGGCATCCCTCTTGCAATCCGGGACTGCTAGCTCTTAACCATTCACCTGCCTGCCTGCCTGATTGCCCCTAACCACTCTTCCTGCTGGCCTGCTTGCCCCCAACTGCCCCCTGCTGCCAGCTTGCTCGCCCCCAACTACCCCCCCTGCTCACCTGTTTGCCCCCTCCTGCCTTCCCTACTGGCCTGGTCACCCCAAACTGGACCCCTGCTGTACTGATCACTGCCAACTGACCCCACTGATGGTCTGCTGGCCCCCTGCTGGTCTGCTCACACCCAACTGCCCCCTCCAGCCTGATCACCCCCAATGCCCCCCAACCAGCCTATCATCCACAACTGCCGTCCGATCCTGGCCTCTAACTGTCTCTAACTGCCCTCATCTCTCAGCCCCACCACAATGTATTTGTCCAGAAGAACATCTGGAAGGTATCCCAGTCTAAGTAGTATTATTTACCCTTTATTAGTATAAATAGAAGCCTGATGCAATGGTGGGAGCTCGCTAGTTTTCCCTGAAGGATGTCCCGAATCGGGGTGGGGGTTTCATTGGGGCATGGGGCGGTCTGAGTGAGGGGCCTGTGGTGGTTTGTAAGCCAGCCATGCCCCTATGGAGGGAAGGACCCCATTGGAGAGGCATGGCCAGCCTGAATGAGGAGCTGAGGGCTGTTTTCAAGCTGGCCACACCTCCTTCAGGGTGGGGGTTCCCGCTGGGGTGCCTGGCCAGGCTGGGTGAGGAGCTGATGGCTGTTTGCAAGCTGGTCATGCCCCCTAGCAGGGACCCTAATCTCATGGGGCATGGCTAGCCTGGGTGAGGTGCTGAGAGCTGTTTTTAGCCTGGCCCCACCCCCTTCAGGATGGGGGTCCCTGTTGGAGTGCCTGGCCAACCTGAGGGGCTGATGGCTGTTTGCAGGCTGGCCATGTCCCCAACGAGGACTGTAAACTTCACGGGGACATGACCAGCCTGGGTAAGGGGCTAAGGGCCATTTTCAGACTGCCCATGCTCCCTGGTGACCTAGGCTGCCAGCCACTCCTTGTGCTGAGGCCAGGGCGGGCTGGAAGCCTGGGTTGCCCTTGGTGACCCAGGCTCCCAGCCCTTCCTTTTTCCCCCCAGCCCCTCCTTGAGCGGAGGCCAGGGAAGGTAGGAAACTTGGCTTCCTCCATCTCCAGGAACAACCAAAGCCTCCTGCTCACTCCAGCTCAATGGCCACGGCCATTTTTGTTGGGTTAATTTGCATACTCACTCCTGATTGGCTGGTGTGCCTAGTGGAGGGATGGTCAATTTGCATGTTTCTCTTTTATTAGTGTAGATTAGCCTTTCATAAAAATGATTAGAATTAACAGTTTAGAGTGCCTAAGGATCATACTGATGTTTATACCTGCCTGACTGCAATTGGCAATGGCAGATCTTGTTCATCAATAAGGGACTCCTGGATCATCCCAGAATGTACGTTTACTATCTTAAGTAAGTAAGATGAACTTCTGCTCATATAGCTATTCCTAAGTAAGTATTCATATTTCAAAGGTTAAAATGTAAATGGAAGAGCAAAATGTTAAAAAAGAAATAGCCAAGGTATTCTGAAAGAAAAGAACAGAAGAGAGGAAATAATAAATCAGAAAGATAAGTTAGAATAGACAGATACTGGAGTAGACAAATTGACTGACTGAAATGAAGAATGAGCCCAGATAATTTATGTAGTAATCAGAAATATAAATTAAAACCACAAAGGGGACACTATAAAAATTTAATTGGTCGAAACCAGTTTGGCTCAGTGGATAGAGCGTCAGTCTGCAGACTGAAAGGTACCAGGTTCAATTCCGGTCAAGGGCATGTACCTGGGTTGCAGGCACATCCCCAGTGGGAGGTATGCAGGAGGCAGCTGATCGATGATTCTCTCTCATCGATGTTTCTAACTCTCTATCCCTCTCCTTTCCTCTCTGTAAAAAATCAATAAAAAAATATATATTTTTTAATTTAATTGGCAAAAATTTAAGTCTATTTTAAATGTTGAAAGGATGTGAAGTAATAGGATCTATTATTTAGTACTTGTGGGAGTATAAACTGGTGCAACCACTTTGGAAAATAATTTGGCATTATCTTTTATTAGAATTTAATAACCTAATCCTGCAAAGTCAATTCTAGATCTATACTATAGAGTACATATGGTACATGGAAGAAGCATATAAAAAATTGCTCTTAGAAGTACTATTCTCAAAAGGAAACAAAAGAGAAAACAAAAAGGAAACAACCCAATGGTTATCAATAATAAACTAGAGAAAAAAAGTTTTCATCTAACCACACCATGGAGCATACAACAGTGAAAATGAATAAACTAAAGCTACTTAATAAAAAAGATGAAATCCATTAATATAATAATGTATCTGAAAAGAGAAAACTAGATGAAAACACTATGATACCTTTTTGAAATTAAAGGACAATGCTACTAAATGATGTATTATTTAGGCATACATATATGTGATAAAACCAACTAAAAATAACTCAAAAAAGAATGATAAATGTGAAATCCAAAAATCGGTTATCTCAAAATAAAGGCAGAACATCTAGGTAGAAAAAAATCATTAGTAATATTCTAGTCTTGAGTTGAGGTTGGATAATGTATATCCTACCTAATAAAAGAGTAATATGCAAATTAACCATCCCTCCACTACACCAGCCATGCCCACCAGCCAATTAGAGCAGATATGAAAATAAACTTCAACCAAAATGGCTACAGCCACAGAGAAAAGTTGAGAGGCTTGGTTTCTCTGGCAATAGAGGAAGCCAAGCTTTCCACACACCCTGGCATGCCTAGGCCTTCACTCAAGGATACAAAGTTTCAATTATAGAAAATAAATCCCAAGAAAAATGGTGGCAGCCACAGAGCTGGAGAGAACAGGATAAGGTTATCCCCGGTAACAGAGGAAGCCAAGCTTTCCATCTGCCCTGGCTGGCCTAGGCCTCCACTCAAGGCTATAAAATTTCAATTATAGAAGGCAAACAAATCCAAACAGAAATGGCTGCAGCCATGGAGCAAGCAGGAGGCTTGGCTCTGTTCCAGGCTACAAAGTTTCAATTGTAGAAGGTAAATAAATTCCAGATACCAGGGCCTCTGCTTGGGTCACCAGGGTACATGGCCGGTCTACAAACCACCATAGGATCCTCGCCCAGGCCACCGCATACCCTAAGGGAACCCCCACCTTGATCTGGGAAACCCTTTAGGACAAACCAGCTGGTCCCAACCATGCACCAAGCCTCTATCCTATCTAATAAAAGAATAATATGCAGATTGACCATCACTCCAACACATAAGATCAAGTTATTATAGCTGCCCCCATTTGGTCAAAGATCCTACACAAGATGGGCACAACAAGATGACCAGCAGGGAAGGGCAGTTGGGAGTCATCAGGTCTGCAAGGGAGGTCATTTAGAGGCAATCAACCTTGCAGGGGAGGGCAATTAGGGGTGACCAGATTGGCAGAGGAGGGAAGTTGGGGGCAAACAGGCTGGCAGGGTAGCAGTTAGACATCAATCAGGCTGGCATGGGAGTGGTTAGTGGGTAATCAGGCTGGCAGGCAGAAGCAGTTAGGGGCAATCAGGAAGGCAGGTAGGTGAGCAGTTGGGAGCCAGCAGTCCTGGATTGTGAGAATGATATCAAACTGCCCATTTTTCTAAACAGGCAGTTGAACATTCCTCGAGGGGTACCAGATTAAAGAGGGTGCAGGCTGGGCTGAGGGACACCTCCCATCCCGGGCACGAATTTTGTGCACTGGGCCTCTAATTTTAAAATAAGTTGATAAAAAAAGGTTAAGTAAGAAACAAAGTTGTCATTACTATAAAGATTTTGAATGCTTTCTTTATCATAATATACAGAATTACCAAATGTTATGTAAACAAGTTTAGCATTTCAATGAATCAGTAAAGTAACTCTTAAAAAATTCAGTATAATTCTTTTTTTTTTTAAATATATTTTATTGATTTTATACAGAGAGGAAGAGAGAGAGATAGAGAGTCAGAAACATCGATGAGAGAGAATCATCTATCAGCTGCCTCTTGCACACCCCCTACTGGGGATGTGCCCGCAACCAAGGTACATGCCCTTGACCGGAATCGAACCTGGGACCTTTCAGTCCCCAAGCCAACGCTCTATCCACTGAGCCAAACCGGTCGGCAAAAAATTGAGTATAATTCTTAAAACTCTTGCAATTCCTGGACTTTTCTCAAAGAAGAAAAATATAAAAAATATTTACAATACCTGATTTCCATGAAGGTCCAAGACATCTAAACTTTTTAGATTCTCCAGATTTGAGATTTTCTTGATTCTAAAAATTAGAGTAAGTACAGTAGAAATGTAGACGTATCACATCTATTGTAAATCAAAATATGCTAAGGTATAACTCATTTTTATTTATTCCCTATAACTTAAAATCAGATGATAGAAATAACTACAGCTGTCTATCTATGTAAATATATAGGTTATATATAGGTTATCCATATATGTATAGATATTATATAAAACATATTTCCTACCAATTTAATTGTATTGTTAAATATGCAGCCATACTAGAGAAAATGTCCCCCCAGCTTAAACAGCATACCTTTAGAAAAGAGCAATTCTTCTAAGAACCTTAGGCTTTAGGAAGGAGTGATGCTTTCTAATAGCAAGCTGACCTCAGATCTACTATAGAAGCCTTTTTTTTCAATTCTTTTATATGCCTAAGCTCACATTTCCCTAAAACAGTGTGTATCAGAATCATTTGGAGGGTTTGATAAAAGATAGCTTGCTAAGTCTCACCTCCAGAGTTTCTAGGACAGGGTCCAAAATTTGCATTTCTAATAAGTTCTTGGGTAATGCTGATGTTGCTGGTCCAGAGATCACATTTTGAGAAGTAATGCCCTAAAACATAGACCTTCTTATCAAATCTCAATTTGCCCTCATATGAGCTTTATAAGGGTAAACTCACCTACTTAACAGAAAATACTAAGGAAATAATCAGAGATGGAAACAAAGATTTACAGACAAGAATATTAATTACATCTTAGAGGGGGGGAAGTATGTAATATAGATATTAATAAAAAGGAAAATAAGTAAATTATTACATATATACCTATATAGATTATGCAGCTATAAAAATTATATTTTCAAAGAACATTTAATAACATTGGAAAACTTAAGTAATAAAATATAAGTATTCAAGTTAAAAACACATATTATAAAAACAATTTTATAAAACTGTAATATGTGAATATAGAAAAAAAAGGTGCTACTCAATGTTGAGAACCAGACTTTGAAAAGAAGGCTAAGAAATGACTGCAGATCCTCTCAATGTCAGAGCACTGTCAACAAACCTACCTAAAAATCATCTATTCACTATGGCTGAGAGCCCAAATTCTGTAACTTGTAGAAAAGTGATGCATTATTTTTGGCCAAGTAGAAATATAATTTATTTCTATCTGTTTATAATTTAACAATCTTATTCCAGTATGTGTCATTTTTCATTGACTATCAGTTTCTCTTATCTTCTTTTGAACCAACTTTGTCATCCTACAGTTTTCCTCATCAATTAATTAATTTAAAAAATTTCCTGGAATTAATCACTATCTGTCTAAGAACTATATTTTTAACATATTGGAAATTATACATAAGTGGTGATGGAGATTGTCCCAGCCTATATTTTTTCTGATTTGGAGGATCAATGTAATGTTTCTGAATTGACCAGAAACTCTCGGCACGTTTAAAACACTCCCATCACAGAAAACTAAATGTGCAACAGGTCTTCCAAAGAACACCAGGGTTTCACATGCTGCTGAACTATCCAGTAAAACAGTCGCAGTCTATTGTGATTTCAAGCACTCTCTTAGCTTTGATACATAGTGGCTTTATGACTTTCAACTTCAGATTCTGATTGCCCAGGTGACTAGAAATAAAAATGAATAAGTTGTTCAGTCAGTAAACCTGAAAACCAACTAAACATCTTGCTGTCTTATTCTCATTAAATGCTTTTGCCAAACACCCCCAAGACCTGAAATGACATAAAAACAGATAAAATTCTAAAGAATTCAGAGGCAGGTGAAGATATCAGTTGACCTAGGAGGCCATAGTCAGATTAGGTATTAATGTGAAGAATTTGCAGAATCCTAGTCAGTTCCAAAATAGTTGAAAATTTTTACATTAACACCAATGTGACCTGAAATTTGTTTTAAGTTCTCCCATTAAACAAAATGGAAACTAGAAAAGGGTGAGGCTCTGCTATCACTTCAGTAGCTACAGAACTCTAGACATTTATGACAGCCTGTCTCTGCAGATTGCAATACGTTACTGACAGCAGGATAAGGTCCCTTCTACAGATCTATATTAAGGTGAGGCTTTTCAAATGTCAGAGACAAATCCATAAATGGAAAACCTCAAGCAATCAAAAGGCAAGAAAAATGGAATCCAAGGTCCGGCAGAAAGTTTTATATACAGTCCTTGGTGATGAGAAGAAAATTCAGAGTAGTTCTATTAATTAACCTGTGATCATGAGGGCACCAGAAGATCTCTCACAAGGATAATCAGGATACAGAAAGCAGAACAGTTAGATGGCAAGAAATCCAACTTCAAAGTCATACAGAGGGGTTGGGAGTTCATTAGTAACAACGTAAACTTCAAATGCAGCATAGTGGGGCCTTTCTACCTTTTCAGCAGGAATATTTATTAGAGTTGTTTGAACTAGAGGCATCTGGTTACCCTAGATGTTCATATATGGTTCCATTGTCTTGGACTAGAAGACAGTGCAGTGCTTTGCAATGTGGGAGAGACAAACGTTTCTGGACTTGTACAGCAGGGGGCAAAAAGTCCCCCAAGAGGAACATGAGGGCACAGGGTGGCAGATGTGCTTCTCTCTTCAGCAGTCCTCAGCCAGGTTTGCCTAATGATTACTAAAATACTGCTTCAGGATAGATTTGAGACTTGAAGGCCTTGACAAAGTTAGCTGGCTGAAGAGCATTAGGTATATATTTTAGGGATCAGATTTGCATTGTACTGATACTTCAGAAATGCCAGTTGGAAGAATATGGAAAGTTGTCTTCTGACTTATTTTCTTTTTTATTTAAAAACTTGAATAAGAACTATTTTCTTTATGGGAAAGTTAAAGTAAAATATGACCCAAAGCAAGCAAACAAACAAAAAGATAGAGGGTAGAAGGCAGGAAAAAGAAACTGCATTAGATTGCTTTTACTGAACAATTATAAGAATATAGGGAAGGGGATAGGCCCGAGAGAGTTGGAGGAGCAAAGAGACCTTTAAAAATATTTTAAAAGTCCAATACACCAGTGTCTTTGAGGCAAAGGAAAAGAGAGTAGATTGAGAGATAATTTAAAACGTTAGGAAACTGCCGAAACCGGTTTGGCTCAGTGGATAGAGCGTCTGCCTGCGGACTGAAAGGTCCCGGGTTAGATTCCGGGCAAGGGCATGTACCGTGGTTGCGGGCACATCCCCAGTAGGAGGTGTGCAAGAGGCAGCTGATGGATGTTTCTCTCTCATCGATGTTTCTAGCTTTCTATATCTCTCTCTTCCTCTCAGTAAAAACTCAATAAAATATATATATAAAAAAAAAAAAACATAAGGAAACAGGAGCAGCTCTAGATAATAAGTTTACTAGTAAAACTTGAAAAGGAGATTTATAATGAAAACAGTGACACGGAGGGCAGAAAGATGATGGTACTGCAGAATAAATGGAAGCTAGAAACACAAATCAGTAACTCCAAGAATCAGAAGTGAGTGAAGAAATCTCTGGGAGAGATAACAATGAGCACCTAGAAGGAAGTGCCTTGATGTATGAAGTTTACTCTTCACTTTACTCAGTGAACTGCTTCAGGGGCATACTCCTACTATATATAGTTTGTACATATCTAACCTTGCAGAAGTCACCTTTCATCTCAATTTCTCCACCTTTCAGGTTACTTAAAGTCCTAATCCTACCTACTAAAAGAGAAACATGCAAATTGACAGCACCTTAGCTATGCCCACAAGCCCTGCCCACCAGCCAATCAGGGTGAGTATGCAAATTAACCCAACCAAGATGGCGGTTAATTTGCATATCCAGGCCAGAGGGAAGACTGAAGATGCCTAGAAAGAAGCCAAGCACTGCTGAGAAGCAAGCAAGCAAAGTGCGGGAGAAGGGAGAAGGAAGGAAAACAGGCAGGCGGGGCAGCGACCACAGCAGGAAGCCCTATTGCAGGAATCTTCCTGAAGGGACATCTAGTACTCTATAATCCTATAATTCCCCAAATTCCTTCATGATACTGTATTGCTTAGTTTAACACTTGAACCAATAGTAGGTGACAGACTACACCAATGGGAACTTTCAAGAAACCACAGAGAACGGATTAGAACATGATCTTGGAAAAAATATCTTATATTACTGCTGGCTAATGAGAATAAACAGGCATTGCAAGATCCATGTTGGGGGTGGAGGAGGGAGGTGGATGGAGGGGAACCAAGCTTGAGTATATCTAAACTTTATTATTTGATAATATAAAAATCATTTTTAGACTTTTGCCAAACAGCTCTTCTTTCTAGGCATTGCAAAACTATCTAGTGAAGCAGAATGAAGAGAAAGGTCATGAACAAATCTCAAGGAAGTTAGGCAGGAATTGTCTAGCTGTACACATAATAGAACCTTATGAAAAGAACTGGAAATATTCACATAGGATGTAATTTTAAATATATATTGAAAATGCCATCTAAACAAAAATCAATCAGTAATTTGACAATCACAAAGTAAATGTCTACCTTCAGTCAAGCACAGAGGAGAATCACTAGTGAATACTCATACTAAAAGTGAATACAACATGCTTAAAACATAGTCTAAAAAACATAAAGGCCAAATCTGCTATTTACTTCCATATAAGCTTTGACACGGGAAAGTAATGGAAATAACAAAATATACACTATATAAATGTAATTTGCTTTAACTAATTGTCAGACTAAATCTCATAAAACAAATTATGATAGAATCTTAATCCATTTAAATAATCTTTCAAAAATTTAGTCCATTAGGTTCTTAACTGTTTTTCAATTCTATGTTGCCATCTAAACCCCTACAACTCAACATTAATCCTAAGTATAATAGACAAAAACTGCTCTATAAAAGTTACCTGTTTTTCCCCAACAGAAGGACACGAAGGGATCTGAGAGTAGAAAGCCCACTAATTTCTTCTATATGGTTATCATATAAATCCAAGAATATTAGCCTCCGTAGATTAGAAATATTTTGGATTCGAGTTATAAAATTGTGTTGGAAGTTCAATAAACGAAGGTGTTCTTCCCCATCGATAACAGGACATACAGTCAGCTTTTGCCTAAAAGACATTTGAAAAAGTTAATAAGATTTTGATTTGGCAACTTGCCCCCTCTTATAAAAATTATTAGTTTCTTTGGGAAGAGGCATGTGCCCTGACTGGAATCAAACCTGAAACCTTTTGGTATGCTGGAGGATGTTCCAACTAATCGAGCCACCCGGTCAGGGCCTGAATTCTACTCTTGACCCTAAATCTCCTGGCTAAGAAACAAGCATAGCATAGCAGATCTCCTTTTGGAAATCATGGAGCTTACCTACTGGTTCTTAAACAATGATCCCTGAATATCTTACTGCCAGCCCACCTTTCATGACTGCACATCCTGGTACTAATAAAATTGTGCCTAAGCATCTGACATCTTTGTGATCCTGCCATCATAACCAGTCTTTGAAGCTAAGTCAATTCCCTTGGTCTTGACTTTTCTGGTTAAACAAGTCACCACCTGATTAAAGTCTGTGTCATGTACCAAAGATAATCTTCACAACTACCTGAGTCACCCAAGCTACAACACAAGTGCCTTATATCACAATCTTATAAAATAGTAGTTCCTGTTAGTCTCAAGTAACATGAAACTAAAGGGCTGAGGTATTATTCTTGGCTAGAATTTTAAAGAGTGAGATAAATATTATCACAAAATCCAACAAAACATTAGAATACTGTGAAAGTGCCCTGGCCAGCGTGGCTCAGTTGGTCGGTCATTGTTCTGTGCATCCAAAGGACACAGGTTCGATTCCTGGTCATGGCATATACTCAGGTTCAGATTTAATTCCATGTTGGCAACCAACTGATGTTGTTTTTCTCACATCATTGTTTTTCTCACATCATTGTTTTTCTCACATCATTAGTTTTTCTCTCCTGCTCCTTACCTCTCGCTCGCTAAAAAAATCAATAAAAACATCCCTAACTGCGAACTGAAGGGTCCCAGATTCCACTCTGATCAAGGGCATGTACCTTGGCTGCTGGCATATCGATGTTTCTAATTCTCTATCGCTTTCCCTTCCTCTCTATAAAAAATCAATAAAATATATTTTTAAAAATCAATAAAAACATATTCTAGGATAAGGATTAAAAAGAAAAACAAAAAATATATTGTGGAAGTTGTTAATACTAGCATTACATTTTTTAAATCCAACAATTCTACAAAGATGTAATAAGAGTAACTGCCCTCAAGTGTTATTTGCCTACAAAACAACATATCAAACATCCCCCCCACCCCCAGAGAGCTTTTTCCCAAATACAAATACAAAGGATCTGTGACATTTGCTGTCAGATGTGCATTGCTAAGCTAATAAGTTTACTGAACAATTTGCTATTAGATAGACACTGCTGAGATAAAGGAATGCATAGCAGAAATGATTTATTTATTTATTTATTTATTTATTTATTTATTATTTTTATTTATTTTTGCTGATTATAGCACAAAGGTAGGGTTGGATCCTTCATCCACTATTCTATTGCAGGTACTTTTCTGGATTTAATGATGAAGATCAAGTCCTAAGTTTATTCATTCATTCAAAAATTTTATTGAGAGCCTATTTTGTCCTAGGTTCTGTTCTAAGTGCTAGGAATACAGAAATATAAACTCCACAAACACTCCTAGTGTTTGTGGAGTTCATATTTTAGTAGAAAGAGACAAATAATAAACTCAATAAGTAAAATATTTAATACATTAGAGGGTGATAATTCTCCCCCCCCACCTCGAAAGAAAGAAAGAAGAAAGAAAGAAAGAAAGAAAGAAAGAAAGAAAGAAAGAAAGAAAGAAAGAAAGAAAGAAAGAAAGAAAGAAAGAAAAAAGAAAAAGAAAAAAAAAATGAAGCATAGAAAGAGCTGGGGACTCTCAGGGTGAACCGGGTTATAATTTTGGAGATGGTGGCCAGGGAGGGCCATTCCTGAGATGATGACATTTGAGTAAAAATCTAAAGGAGGGCTCTAACCAGTTTGGCTCAGTAGCTAGAGCGCCAAACCTCAGAGTCCCAGTTTTGATTCTGGTCAAAGGAATGTACCTTGGTTGCAGGCACATTCCAGAAGGGGGTGTGCAGGAGGCAGCTGATTGATGTTTCCCTCTCATCAATGTTTCTAACTATCTATCCCTCTCCCTTCCTCTCTGAAAAATTCAATAAAATATATATTTAAAAAAAAAAAAAAACTAAAGGAGGAAAGGAAGTAGGAACAGTAAGTGCAAAAGCCCTAAAATGTAAGCATGCTTGGTATATTCAATGACACAGAGTGAGCAAAGGAGAGATTAGGAGGAGGTGAAGCCAGTGAGGTAACAGGGGATTCAACTGAACAGGGCTTTCTAGCCTGTGTGATGACTATATTACAAAGCTTTTGCTATCCTAAAATCCATTTTCATTGGTCATAATATAGAATTACTTAGTACTCTTTTATTTAACATTATATAGGTATAAAATTCCTCCTCATACCCCTCAAAGGATAAATAAATAATTGATAACAGTGGTTACTCTCACATGGCAGAACTGGATAGTTGGAGAATAGGATGAGGGAGAGAGATTTTTATACCATTCAAATCTTGTACCATTTCTATGTATTATCTAGTCAAAAAAATAACAAATTGTCCTCACCTTTCTAGGGTCAGTCTATCTGAGTAAAGAATTTTCTCTTCAGAAGAACGCTGGAGAATGTGAAATGATGACACTGATGAGCTCACCAAATTAATATGATCACCTATTGAAAATGATATATATATATATATACAAATTACTTGATTAAGAAAAAACCTTTAAAAGCTTACATTTGGAGAACTTTGGCACCTAAAAATATCTTTTCTAGAAAGTATAATTTCCATAGCTCTCCAGGTTTGAAGTTAATTACTAAATTTGAGTTTGTTTCTTTCTTCCTCAAACCTATTTTATCCCTTTTAATGCTGACACCTAATACTAAATTTTTACTCTCTTATAACTGAGATGATAGTCCCTCATTACCAGATACACTTGGGCCAGCACTATGACAGCCCTGCCGGATTCTGGACTTGGAAGGTATCTGAATGGAAGAATCTCCAAATGCTGATAAGGAGTTCGTGGTAGTTTTCATGTCCAGCCCATACAGTTCTGTCACGTTTGCTGTGGATGAGATGCATGATGATTTATTACGAGGTGAAGGGCTTATTACTCTTCCATCTCCTTCAAAATATCAAAAAGTTTAACACAAAGCTACACAGCATACAGAGAAAGTAGTTTGAATAGCAAATGTAAACCTCACATCATCACTTTTTTGTATGCTCAGCTATTATTATAGAGAATATTAGAGACCCAGTGCATGAAATTTGTGCATGGAGTGGGGGTATGTGTGTCCCTCAGCCCAGCCTGCACCCTCTCCAATCTAGGACCCCTCAAGGGAACGGGCCTAAATGGGCAGTCAGACATCCATCTCACAATCCAGCACTGCTGGCTCCCAACCGCTTGCCTGCCTGCCTGCCTGATCACCCCTAACCACTCCCTTGCCAGCCTGATCTATGCCTAACTGCTCCCCAGCTGGCTTGATTGCCCCTAACTGCCATCCCCCAACGGCCTGGTCACCCCTAACTGCCCTACCCTGCAGACCTGGTCCCTCCCCAACTGTCTTCCCCTGCAGGCCTGGTTGCCCCCAACTGCCCTCCTTTGCCAGCCCAGTCATCCCTAACTACCCTCCCTTGCCAGCCTGTTCCCTCCCAACTGCCTTCCCCTGCAGTCTTGGTCCCCCCCCACAACTTCCCTCCGCCGTAGGCCTGTGTATCCCCCAACTGTCCTCCCCTAAAGACCTAGTTGTCCCCAATTGCCCTCCTCTGCTAGCCAGGTCACCCCTAACTGCCCTCCCCTGTAGGCCTGATCACCCCAACTTCCCTTCCTTGCAGGCCTGGGTACTCCCTAACTGCCCTCCCCTGCAGGCCTGGGTCCCCCCCTAACTGCCCTTTACTGCTGGCCATTTTGTGGCAGCCATCTTTTGTCCACATGGGGGCAGCCATCTTGTGTGTTGGAGTGATGATCAATTTGCATATTACCTCTTTATTATATAGGATTGTAGAATCAAAGTGAATGTCAACATATTTTATACACTTCTAGTGAGGAGCCATAGGTTATATGCCAACCCCATGACATTTTTAGCCTGTTGGTTATATGTTGTCCCTCCCATTGGGTAATTTTCAATCTAGTGGGCAAACCCACATGAAATTAATAAACTATTTAGAAGAACCTGCACAAAATACAAAAAAAAAATAAAACCTAATGGTATCTTCATACATAAATGCGTCTCATTATTTTTCACTTAAACAAGATGGTTGCAGATGGGTTTGATGGAAGGTGAATTTTAAGATACAATCTAAAGACCTAGAAGAATGTAGAATGTTCAAGAAGAGATGCTGGGAAGTTCCAGAAATGAGGTAAGATTTGAGTAATGGGTTAAAGGAGACAGTTTGAACATCAGGGAAATTATATTGTACGTATTTTTTTCTATGAAAAGCAAATTTCCTGAAACTTGATGTTGAAGGGAGCAATAAGAGGTAAAATAGAACCTAAATTACCACAGAATTCTGCTGCTTAAACTGATGAATAAGGAGAAAAAAAATAAAACAAAATATTGGAAGTTAACATACTCTTTTGGAGACCATCAGACAATATGATAACAACTTGAAGTCAAGTTCCATATAAATCACATTAAAGAGCTAGAAAGCAATGGTATTTGATAGTTTCTCCGGGTATAAAAGGTATAAACCAAAATATCACACACTAGCTTCCCGAACAATATTTTTGTTCACATCTGCTTTTATAAATATCATGAAATATCACAAGCATTCTAAATTGATATCATGTTCACCAATGACTTGATTTTGTGACATGGCCAGCTGCTAACAGGTTACCAAGCAACCATCACTCAATTAAACTGATTTGGAAATAAAAACAAACAAAAACTAGCCTAAGGATTAACGGTAAAGGATTAACAAGTCATATAAAAATAAACAAACAAAACTCCAAACAATAGACAACTTTGATTTCTCTTATTAACAACAGTTAGCTTTTTTAAATTCTTTTGCCAAGACCTCATTCAAATCCTTAGTTTAAAGAGGCAGATTTAAACTTTCTAAGATTTGGGATGAATAGGCAGTAAAACACTAAATTTTATTTACACTCAATGAATAAAGGAATTTTATCTTAACACTTTTTAGCTCCTGTCATAACCACTATACCCATGAGCTTATTACCACAATCAGTGTAATTATGGCTTACAATAATTAGCAAGAGATGAGAACGATTGGGTAGAAAAGCTTCAAAATATACAAACAAGATCCTCTGAACGATTGGGAACCAGAGTGATCTGTGTTGAAACATCTACTTATTTATGTGGATATAATATATGTGTATCACAATCCCACATATATACATGGGATGTTTCATGCTACATATAAATTGTATTACTATATAGCAAAATTTTATTGGAAATATTTCCTATTGTTGTTTATTTCATATACCACTATTTAATTTACTAGATACGCAGCCTTTCTCTTCCTAATTAAATGTCTAAACTCCTTGAGAGACAGACATCATTTCATACTTTTATATTCTTGGAAAAATCTAAATTCAATAGGAATTTAATTGATTTTCCAATTTAATAGGAGTTAATAGAAAATCTATTTTTGTATATAGTATTTCTGTTAAAAAAGAAAATCAGCAATTCTTACATTTCAGTGTAAAACTGCTGAAAGAATTTTTTAATAATTAAAATCTCACAGATGTTTAGAAGACTAATGGTCAACATTTGGTAGGAATCTTCAACTGCACTTGACCCTAAATACATGAATGGATGGATGGATGGATGGATGGATGGATGGATGGATGAATGATGGATGATGGGTGGGTGGATGGGTGGGTGGGTAGATGGATGGATGGGTGGTGGATGGATAGATGGATGGATGGAGAGATGGATGAGTGGGTGTATGGAAAGAAAGATAGATGAATAGATGGGTGGGAGGCTGGCTGACTGGCTGGCTGACTGGTTGGCTGATATAATTCATGGTCATAAATGTGGATATTTTATTTAGTGGTTAGAGCATTGGTCTGTGCACGGAATATTTGTGGGGACTATTCCAGTCAAGGGTATAAATTCGATCCCCAGGGTGCAGGAGGCAACCAATCTATTTGACTCTCTCACACTGATGTTTCTCTCTCTCTCTCTCTCTCTCTCTCTCTCTCTCTCTCTCTCTCTCTCTCTCTCATTGCTTCTCTTCCTCCTTCCCTCTCTTCCACTCTCTCTAGAAAATATATGTGGGGATAAGGGGGAGAGATCAACCAAAGGACTTGTGTTTATGCATATGAGCCTAACCAATGGTCACAGACAACAGGGGAGTGGGGGCAAGCGTGGGGAGGGGTTTGGGATGGGAATGGGGGGGGGGGAGGGGATGAGGACAAATATGTGATACCTTAATCAATAAAGAGATTAAAAAAAAGAAAATATATGGAAAAATATCATTGGGAGATTAACAAATATAAAATAAAATAAAAAGTTAAGCATTGTTTCTTCCTCTCTATATTCACATTTTAGAATTCTAAAGTAAGGGATTTGATCAGTTAGGTCTATTTAACTGAGATTTTACTGTATAGTAGTTCCTGGAATATCTGACTCCTATAAAATATCAAGGATATCAAGGTTAAGTTTCAATATTCTAAACAATATTCTAAACAAGCCTAAAAGAAATCACATACCAAGTTTTAGACTAACCAGTCACACTAAAACATAATTTAATTGCTTAGGACTGAGTGTACAATTGTTTAATTTATGCTGAACAATATGAGAATAATAGGTACTGATCACCATGCAGTAAAAAATCTGATTATAATTTCTGACTCTTCAAAATCTTTAATCATCCCTTAGTGTCTGTAGGGGACTGGTTCCTGGACCCCATCCCTATAGACAGCGAAATCCATAGATGCTCAAGTCCCTTATATAGAACTAGAGGCCCGGTGTATGACATTTGTGCACTGGAGAGGGGGTTCCCTTAGCCTGGCCTGCACCGTCTTACAGTTTTGGATCCTCCCAGGGAGCAGGCTTAAGCTGGCAGGTGGACATCCCCCCAGGGTGCTTAGCACTGAAAGGCTCCTGCCACCTGCCATTGGGCTTGCCAGCCATGAGTCCAGCTTCTGGCTGAGTGGCGCTCCCCCTGTGGGAGTGCACTGACCACCAGGGGGAAGCTCCTACTATTGAGCGTGTGTCCCCTGGTGGTCAGTGCGCATCATAGCAATCAGTGGTTCTGCCATTCGGTTGATTTTCATATCAGCCTTTTATTATATAGAATGGCACACACCAATGCATACAGTTGACCCTCCGTATCAGCAGATTCCTAACCATGGGCGGAAAATACTCTTCCATCCATGGTTGGTTGAATCTGCATATACACAACACAGAAATACAATGTGCTGACTGCATATTTTAGTGTAAAAAAATCCATGCATAAGTAGATCCCCAGTTTCAAACAGTGTTTTTCGAGGGTCAATTTTATATATATATATATATATATATATATATATATATATATATATATTCAATTAATTTTGAAAAATAAAAAATGGGGTAAAACCAATTATAATGATTAGATATCAGGATGCAGTTTATTAAAGAGACATCCCCAAACATTTTCTGATAAAATGCTAATTATAATTTTTCCAAAGTTATAAATATGCCTTTGAAGGTAGAATTGTAAGCAAAAGTCAAGAAGACAGCTATATACTATGTGGACTTTTTTACATGAAACTGGCTGAAGCTATAGAGGAGGCACATTTAGAAGTAACTAGATACAAACAAGTAGTATGTCACAGAGAATGATTTTGAATAAAATCTTTTAATAAAAAACAAATAGGTTTATTTTTCCCTAAATAATTAATTTGAATTTATGGGTCATTATTTATATATAAGACTTTATCTCTCAGGCTCACAAAATTCAGTGCCTCCAAATTATTTCCTCATTAGCAAGCACCCAATAATTCTTCACAACTTAAACAAATTTACTTGGCCAGTCACTCACAAATCTGTATACCAACTTCTCCCTCTAACTTGAGAATAGCTTGGGGAAGGCGAGGAATTAAGATATTATTATAAAAAATGTGAAGAAAGTTCACAATGCAAACTTGATGGCCTGGCCAGTCTGGCTCAATGGTTGAGCATCAGCCTCTGAACCAGGAGGTCTCCGGTTGATTCCCATTCAGGGCACATGTCCAAGTTGCAGGCTCAATCCCCAGTAGGGGGAATGCAGGAGGTAGCCAATCAATGATTCCCTCTCATCATTGATATTTCTCTCTCTCCCTCTCCTTCCCTCTAAAATCAATAAAATATTTTTTTTAAATCCTACTTGAGAACTTTCAGGTTCTTCACATGTATAACTTGTACCTAGTACAGTATCTGGCACATTACACACTCAATCAATATGTATTCAACTGAACCAAAGAAGATAAGAGAGATGTTTCCTGCACTGTAGAACTGCGGCTAGGTTGATGTCATGCCCAAACAATTGGCCAAGGCAAGAATGTAGGATATAGGAAAGAGAAAAATCATGCCAGATTACATGAGCCCATGAGGAACATCCAAAAATAAAGAAACAAAAAATGAAAAGTAATCCAATTTTCAAAGTTGCCACATGTTGACGCAGTAATGAAATGAACAATCTGAATAACCTATAGTAAATCAGCCCTCTCATACAACTCCTAGGAGGTGGAGATGGTACTGTACATAGGATTTGTATTACACACTACCAATAGCTAATAATTACTAGCAACTAACTAACAACTCAAATATACTAAAGGATCTTTCTCCTTAAATTAAAAAATACATTTCAGAAATATAGCCAGATCATATAAGACAGTATTTTTCAAAGTGTGTTCCACAAACCATATCTGTCAGAAACCCTTGTTTCTTTTATTAAAATATACATTTATATATGCCACCCAAGACCTATAAAATCAGAATAGGGAAAAGGGCAAGTGGAGCACTAGAATACACTCTCTAACAAGATCTTAGGTAAAGCACACTAAAGTTTAAGGCCTTTGAGATAATATCTATAATTATATGCATTACTAAGAGAGCTTATTTCTTTTTCACTCCTAACTTTCCACTCTTCCCACTGTTTCCTTTTTTCTAAAGAATGTTTCCATACTCTTACCTTCACTAATTAGCCATTTTTCCTACTTCCAATAAAGTATTTGGAAGATGCCATCCCATTCTCTCACACATAGTCCACCCACAAACTAAAATACATCTTTTTCTGTTTTGGAAATAATCTACTATGTTGTGTATATAAAATAAATTCTGATTTAAATAAATATCAAACCAATTTGGTAACCAATAACCATTTCATTTTTAATTCAAATCTATTTGAATCTAGAAATTCAATAATGTTAAACAATATTACCCAAAGAAGATAAACCATATTTGATCTCTACTCATTGACAATACCTTGCCGACTTGAGTAGTTTCTTTCAAGGTCATGTTGTAAGAGTCGACCAGGGAATGATGGTGTTTCTTTATTTAGCCTTAATTCAACCTAAAAAAGATTATTTTAAAAAACTGGATAAGAACTTAAAAGTAAGTAATGAAGATAATTACAAAATAACATATAGTAAGTGGTACATACTACAGCAGATGAACCTTGAAAATACTATGCTAAGTGAAAGAATGCAAATATAAAATGCCACAAATTGTATCATTCCATTTATGAATAATTGAGAGTAAGAAAACCTATAGAAGTCATAGTAAGGGACTTTAACACCCCGCTGGCAATACTGGATAGATCTTCCATATAAAAAATCAACAAGGAAACAGAGACTTTAAATAACACACAAGGTGAATTTCATTGACATTTAAAGAACATTTGACCCCAAAGCTATAGAATATACATTCTTCTCAAGTTCACAGGGGTCATTCTCAAAGTTAGACACATAAGTAGGACACAAAATAAGTCTCTACCAGTTCGAGAGGATTGAAATCATATCAAGCATCTTCTCTAATTACATGATATGAAATTAGAAATCAACCACAATAAAAATACTAAAAAAGTATTCAAACACATGGAGACTAAATAGTATGTTATTAAACAATGAATGAGTTATCAATGAACTCAACTAAAAAATAAAATACTTAATGAAAACAGCCATAGCTGGTTTTGCTCAGTGGTTAACATGTCAGATGGAAAGGTGGTGGGTTAGATTCCAGATCAATAGCATATAACTGGGTTAAAGGAAGCTTAAGAGAGGCAGCCAGTGGATATGTCTGTCTCACATCAATGTACCTCTCCCTCTCACTCTCTCCCCCTTCTCCTTCCCTTTCACTCTCTAAAAATAAATGCAAAAAGAAAAAAGGAAAAGAGGGAGGGAGGGACGGAGGGAAAAATGAAGGGAGGGAGGGAGGAAGGAAGGAAGGAAGGAAGGAAGAGCGGGTGTGTCTTCATGGGAACAAACAAAAATGAACACACAACAACCAAAAATCTATGGAACACAGCAAAAGCAGTACTGAGAGGGAAGTTCCTAGCATTAAAGGCCTAACTCAAGAAACAAGAAAAGTTCTAATAAACTATCTAACAGTATAATTAAAAGAAAGAGAACAAGAAAAGCTCAAAGTAAATAGAAAGAAGGAAGTAATATTAGAGCAAAAATAAATGACATAGAGAATAAAAAACACTACAAAAGATCAATGAATCTAAGAACTAGTACTTTGAAAAGATAAATAAGATTGATGAGCCTTAAGCCAGACTCATCAAGAAGCAAACAGAGAAAATCCAAATTAATAAAATCAGAAACTAAAAGGTGAGGTAACAACTGATACCAGAAAAACATAAAGAATTGTAAGAAAATACTATGAACAACTATATGCCAACAAGCTGGAAAACCTGGACAAAATGGACAAATTCCTAGAAAAATACAATCTTACATAACTAAATCAGGAAGAATCAGAAAACCCAAATAAGCCAATAACAACTGATGAAATTGAAGCAACAATAAAAAATAAATAAATAAATAAAAAATCCCAGCAAGCAAAAGCCCTGGTCTGGACAGCTTTACAGGGGTATTTTACCAAACATTCAAAGAAGAACTAACACTTACCTTCCTCAAACTATTCCAAGAAATCCAAAAGGAAGAAACACTTCCAAGCTCTTTTAGGAGGCCAGCATTATTGTAATTCCAAAACCAGATAAAGACAATACAAAGAAAGAGAATTACAGGCCAATTTTGCTGGTGAACATAAATGCTAAAATCCTCAAGAAAGCATTAGCAAATTGGATCCAACAATATATTAAAAAGATCATACAGCATGACCACATGATATCAATGGATGCAGAAAAAGCATTTGACAAAATCCCAAACCAATCTAATAAAGAGGAAATATTCAAATTGACTGTCAAGCCATCACAAAAATGGTGGCGCCCATAGCCACAAGATGGTGGTGCCAAGTCCCCTCAGCCCAGCCAGAGTCTCCCAGTCTTTTAGCCTTTCCAGGGGGCTGGCAGGTGGGTCTGGCCACTCCTTGCACCTGCCACTGGAATCACACAGTACTTTCAGCCCAGCCATGGGGGGCAGCAGGCACCCAGTGCAGCTGAACCCGCCCTCAGCCTCCCAGCTGCCCTGAGCCAGCCAAGGTGCAGGCAAGCCTTGGATGTCAGCTGCCCAGCCGATGCTTGAGGCGCAAGCAAGCCTAGAAGTCAGCTGCTGAGACACCCAGGGTGGGCCCAAGGCACATGCCTGCCCAGCCGCCCAGGGCCACCAGCAGTGGCAGCAGCAGAGGTGTGATGAGGGCATCGCCTTCCCCTGATAACTGGGTTGCCTCCCGCTCCTGAGGGCTCCCAGTCTATGAGAAGGGGCAGGACGGGTTGAGCCCCCCCCCCCTTCCCAGCATCCAGTGCATGAATTTTCATGTATTGGTCCTCTAGTCTACACTAAAAAAAAGAGAAAAATGCTAATTGACCATACTTTTGCTACACTCGCAGCCAATGAGAGCGAGTATGCAAATTAACCCAATAAAGTTGGTGGTTAATTTGCATATGCTGAGGGAGGGAGGAGTGAAGACTAAAGGCAGCTTAGAAGGAAGAGGGAGGAAAAACGGAAAGTAAGGTGGTTGCCAAAGGGAAAGCGCGGGAGCAGCGGTGGTGGCGGGTGTAGTGGCAACTGGCAGGACAGGGCAGGCGGAAGCCTAGCCACTTGCAGAAATCCTCAGCCCTCAGGCCTATACTCTAGCCATTTAGCCATTTTTTTATACCATATATACTAATAATGAACTCTCAAAAAGATAAACTAAAAAGACAACTCCATTAGCCATTGCAACAAAAAATTAACGGATTTAGGAATAACTTTAACCAGGGAGCTAAAAGACCTATACTCAGAAAACTACAGGATGTTGAAAAAAGAGATAGAATAAGATATAAACAAGTGGAAGAATATACTGTGTTCATGGATTGGTATTCATAGACATTTTAATGTCTATACTACTGAAAGAAATCTATAGATTCAATGCAATCCCTATTAAAATACCAATGGCATATTTCACAAATCTAGAACAAAAACTCCAAAAATTTATATGGAACTAAAAAAGGTCTTAATACCCTCAGCAATCTTGAGAAAGAAGAACAATGTTGGAGGGATCACAATACTGGATATCAAGCTGTACTACAAAGCCACTGTAATCAAAACAGCTTGGGACTAGCCCAAGAACTGGCATATAGATCAATGTTTCAGAATGGAGGACCCAGAAATTGAGAACCCATAATTGAGCCATTATGTTTAATTAATATTTGACAGTGGAGGCAAGAGCATACAACGGAATAAAAATAATCTCTTCAATACATGATGTTGCAAAATTGGACATGTACTAGTATATGCAAAAAAAAATTTATATATTTATACTAGACCACACAACTTACACCAGACACAAGAATAAATTCAAAATGGATTAAAAACTTAAATTTAAGTCAAGAAACCATAAAAATCCTAAAAAATAACATAGGCAGCAAAATACCAGACATCTCATGAGGCAGAATTTTCATGGATACAAAGGAAAACATAAATGGGACTACTTCTTGCAGACTGAAGGTGCCCAGGTTCAATTCCCACCAAGGGCACATGCCCAGGTTGCAGGCTCAATCCCCAGTGTGGGGCATGCAGGAGACAGCCAATCAATGATTTTCTCTCTCCCTCTCCCTTCCTCTTTGAAATCAATAAAAATATATATTTAGAAAAGGGGAAAAAAATAGGCAGAGGATCTAAATAGATACTTTTCCAAAGAGGACATACAAATGGTCTATGAAAAATGTTCAATGTTGCTAATTACCAGAGAGATGCAAATTAAAACAATGAGAAACCACCTCACACCTGCCTGAAGGGCTACCATCAATAAATCAATAAACAATAAGTATGAAGTTTCCTCAAAAATAGAACTTCCATTTGACCCAGCAATCCATTTCTGGCAATATATCCTAAGAAGCCTGAAACAGCAATCAGAAAGAATATATGCACCCCTGTTGTTCATAGCAGCACCATAGCTAAAATCTGGAAACAGCTCAAGTACCCATCGTGAATATGTGAATTTAAAAACTATGGTACATTTACACTGTGGAATACTATGCAACTATTTGAAGAAAAAGGATCTACCCTGTTTCCCCGAAAATAAGACCGTGTCTTATATTAATTTTTGCTCCCAAAGATGAGCTAGGTCTTATTTTCAAGGGATGTCTTATTTTTCCATGAAGAAGAATATGGTACACATTTATTGTTAAATGAAAATAAAGGAAATTTATTACCTGTATACAGTACGGTGGTATGGTAGTTGTCCATACATACCAGACAAACTGTGAATCCTACAGTATTAAGAATTTACTCATTTATTCAATGATAATCATGTCATCATCTTCTGGAACATCATCATAACAATCCAATTCCTGAATTTCCTGATGAATTTCTTGTGACTCCATTTCTTTCAGAATCAGTGGAGCAAATCTCTCATGTTTAGCAATAGCATTCTGAGACAGAGCCTGGGGGGGGCGGGGGGGGGGATCTTATTTTTGGGCGGATGCCTTATTTTTCACTCAGAAGGAAACCTGTAGGTAGGTCTTAATTTCGGAGGATGTTTTATTTTCGGGGAAACACGGCATTACCCTTGATAGGGACCTTGAGAGTATTATGCTAAGCAAAATAAGGCAGTCAAGGAAAGACAAATATTCTATGATCTCACTTATATGTAGAATCTAATGAACAAAATCAACTAACAAACAAAATAGATCCAGAGACAGTGAAAATATGATTTCAAAGGGAAAGGGAAGACGGGGAGAGAGTAAAGGAGAGAGGGAAGAGATTTACCAAAGAACTTATATGGAAGGCTTAGGGAGGGGTTGGGTGTAGGGGAAGAAGAGAAGCAAGTGGGGAGAGGAAATATCTGTAATACCTTCACCATTAAAGAGTAAAAACACTTATAGTAATAGAAACAGAAAGCAAATTTGTGTCTTCCAGGGGGTAGGGTAGAGGACATCGGGAGTGACTGCTTAATGGGTACAGGGATATCCCTGCGGGTGATAAAATGTTCCGGAAATAGATCGTAGTGATGTGTGCACAACATTGTGAATGTATTTAATACCACTGATTGTAAATTTAAAATTATTAAAATGGTAAATTTTATATTATGTAAATTTTAACACATACACACAATCAGAGTCAATTTTCTGTAGTCAGATGAAACCATGTTCCTTGAGGCACTTTCAGTTCCTCCATACCCTCATCACAAATATAATGATTAAAAGAATCTTTTTCTCACAAACAATAGGAAAAACATACAATAAACACTAAATTCTGTTGGGGGGAAAAAAATCACTGTTTTTATCACTAGAATTCCTTTAAGAGTTCAATTATAACATAATAAAATTATACACCAAAACCTTTTAACAAGGGATTTCTCTAAATTTATTTTAAATTATTTGATAGAACTGAAAAAAAAAATCAAACATCCTCTCATGATTAGCCACAAAATAATTTAAATATGTATTTTAAAAGAATTATGATGCTTCTGATTCATCCATCTATAAACATTATAATAGCATTTGCATTATCTTCTTACGAATTATATGAGCTATAGGTGTTTTCTTAAAACATTATGTCCACACAGGAGAAATGAATTGTTTGGAAAGAATTCGAATGAGGTACATCATTCCTAGAAACACATTGTAATGGTAGGATTTGTCCAATGAAATCAATTAGCAAAGCTTTAGGGGGAATCCATTAAGGCCAAGTATAATAGAGAATGTTTCACTTAATCTAGCTGTAATTTATTCAAGATGATCAAAAGGTCTAGTTTACGTAATAATATGAACAATAAAGATGGATTTAAAAAAAACGCACATACAAAAGGTCTAGTTTACAAGTGTTCATTTTCATACACAAAATGTAAGCAACTGCTGCCTCCTTAACTAGTGTTCTTCCATCCACCCTTCTTATGCCCTATTTACCCTCTTTCGGCTGTTATCTATAAACTCTGCCCTTTCCTTTAGAGTTCCTCCAGTGACATCTATTAAGCATTTTCTTCAGGAAAAAAAAAAAATGAATTGTGATGTTTTGAGGGGTAGAACTTGCTCTAAGTAGAAAAATTATATTCTGTCTTGGGACAATTGTGTAGGAGATGGGTATATTTTTCAAATGAAAAGCCAGAAATTATGGAAATACCAGAGATATTATGATAAAATTGTTTAGAAAAAAAAGAATCTCATGTTAATATCATAACTTCTAAATATCATTAAGCCTAATATATTTCCACTACAAATCTATTTTCCTCCTCTGATTTTAAATGGATTGTATAGATATGCCCCTCAAATTATTACATTTTATCCATTATAAGATTCCATCAGTAGTAAAACACACCATTATTCTACTCATTGCTAAAAAAGAATTTCCCCATAAAACTACAATTTTCCATCAATTTTAAGAAAGATACTGATTTTGTTTAAATATAAAAAACAAAATACAAAAACCTTACCTCTTGCAATTGGTGAAATAAGATACAGTTTTTAAAAGAGGTGGTTTGGGAGTTTTTTGTTTTGTTTTGGGGGACTTTTTTTTCTTTCTTAATGTAGACAGAAAAAAATTGGGTTTTGATTGGAGACTGAAATAAATATACTTAAAATTTCCAGTTTAGACTTTACTCTTTAAATCATGCTGCTATTTCTTACTTTGTTTTTCTCAGGAAAAGATGATGTTTGAATAACCAGGTGAAGCCCACAGTTCACCTGCAATGTAAAAATTAAACCATTAATATGTTAACTTACACACACATACACACATTCCTCCCCAAAATACAAATAAACATATAACGAACAGAATGCTTGCTCTTTGTTTCTGCTATATGATCATGTTCTGAGGATTTGCTGAAAACAATAAAATCACAACTAAGAATTAACGGTTTCACTGTGCTTTGTTTTCTAAAATGTCTGCAGTAACTTAACCCTCTACGTAACACCCTAGGATTTAGACACTGGCCATTTCAGGCCTAGGTAAATATCTCAGAGAACTAGGTGAAGGAGGTGGGAGTGTCTATTAATAATAAATTCTTTTCTTTAGCTAAAAAAATGTGAATCGACTAGTTAAGTGAATTTAAATGAACCTTAGCCTTTCACAGCAGATCAGCTCCACCTTCTGGGAAGCCCAGATCTGGGAGGAGACTGAATCCGCCATCACACAATATTAATACCTCAGGATGCCTGGGTCCGGTCCACGAATCTCAGCCTCGGCCAGACAATAGCTTAAGCAGCTCAGCATCCCAGCCCCGTACACATCAGTCGGACAAAGACGCCGGAAAGGACGACGCGAATGGAAGGAAAGGGAAAGGAGGAGACCCAACCTACGTTGCTCGTAGCCCGGCCAGAAACAGAGCGGAGTTTCCCGGGAATCATGGCAGGAGTCAGTCCAGAATCCTTAGATCTGCATCAGAAATGACGCTATGGCAGAGACCCAAAGAGACCAAAACCTGTCAGGTCCCAAGCAACCCGCTCAGGGGTTACCACGGAAACAACGACTTCCGGTCTGGTCCTCTCCCAAATCTGCGGTTGGTGGGGGCGGGGCGGGGCGGGGCCGGGCTGGGCCCCTTGGTAGCTATGATAACCACCACTTCCGGCCCGTGCCTCCTCCCGGCCACCTCCGCTCGGCCCGCGCGAAACAAGTGTCCCCGTGCGGGTGGCCACCTGCTCCCCCGCCGCGACTGTGGGAGGAGGAGGAAGAGGAGGAAGATATCCCAGGGCCAGCGCTCCCCGACTTGGGGCTCTTCCGGTGGCCGGAGGAAGGAAAGGAAACGCGCGGGACCCCGGCTTCCCCGCACCAGGCTTCCTTCGTGCCGGTCGCGGTTCCGCTTCCCCGAGGGCCGGCCGCGCGGGGTGGCCGGGGCAGGGACAGCTTGGTGATCCCGCCTTTTTGACCTCTCTTCGGTGATTCAGAAGAACCTGCGATTCCCCCATCGCCTGAGGCTGGTGGCGGGCGCCATGTCCACCCGGCACCCTGTGTCTCCCCAGCATCTACGGGGTAACAAGAGGGGACCAAACGGGCGACCCTGAAAAGAGAGGAGAGCCGCGGGCCGTCAGGTATTCCGAGGCCGCCCGCGCCCGGCCTCCGAACAATCCTCCAGGCCAGGCGGAGGGCTGCAGCTTCCCAGGCAAAGGGACTTGCAGGAGCCCACCGAGGGTCACGGAGAGACCCTCAGACGGTGGGTAGGCGCTTCCATTGGGGAAAATGACCACATCTCTAAAATTTCTGTAGTCTTATATGTAAAATTAAGAGCGTGCTTTGAAGGTGATAGCCAAGATTCTATTTAGCTTTAACAGTTTGGAATTACAGTTCATTCTACTTCTCCCTTAAAACCCACACAAGCCAACACTATAGTCCTTCAGATTGTAAAGGCGTCTTCACCTGGGCTCCAGAATTCTTATAGTTTTATTTGAGCAAATCTCAGGAATGGGCTGCTCCATACTGTTTTTGCAAAACATTAAGACACAAACTTGAGGAAATGTCAATTATACATCTCAAAATGGTAGGGAAGGGGATTGCTGATAACCCCTCCCCACTCTTAAAAATCGCTTTGCCACTAGCTGCCTTTGAGTTAAATGATCCTACTGAGGTCAATTTCACCCATCTTGCCTGCTTCTGCCTTCTGCCTTTATCCTTATAAGTTATCTGGTCACTACCTTCTTCTTCCTCACTTCGCTGCTTAGACTTCCCAGCCTTCTATGAGCCTTATCCCATTATGTAGATTACATTATGATTCTTAATCAGATCTAGGAGTTCACCAAAACATGACCTATGTGTCAGATGGGTACTAGACTTATGGGGTAATCATTTCATAAGTTTTATAAATGTTTAACCTCTATGTTGTATGCCTGAAACCAATTTAATATTTTATGTCAATTATAATTTAAATTCTTTTACTTTAAAAATGATTTTTACATTTATTGTATGTTTTTTGTTATTTATTGTTAATGTTTATTGTTGACAATATTACAGATGTCCCCCATTTTCCTGCTCTTTGCCCTCCTCTACCCAGCCCTGCCCCACTTCAGGCCTTCATCACACTATTGTCTGTGCCCTTATGATATGCATGTATGTGTGTGTGTGTGTATATATATATATATATATATATATATATATATATATGTTCTTTTTAAGTGACATTTTGGGTTTGAATATACAGAAATATTTATAGAATTTGAGCTGAAGGAAACCTTAGTGTTCATCTAGTCCAAATTCACAGTTTAGGCACAAGCAAGTCATTTCGGAGGCTAATAATTTCCTCAAAGGCCTATAATATTTGCTCTAGGTCTGATTGCCAGACCAAAACTCTTTCTGGGATACCAACTTGCTTTCTGCATTGGAGTAGTTGCTTAAGATGTTTTCTTTAATGGCATCCTGCAACTATTAGGATAAAGAACAAAATTATTACCCCAGTAGACAAGTCCTTGGGTGCTTTTTGTCCCTCCTACCACACCAGTTCTATTCAAGGCCATTCCCCTTGTTGCTCACTGTGTACCAGTTATGCTGATCGTTTCAGTTGTTTCATGTAATACCCTGGAATTATGCCCCATCTATTCCCCACCATCATCAATTATGTCCTTTTATTTAAAAACAACTTAAGCATCCTTCCCCTTTGATACCCTAACTTATGTGCTTCCATTTTTATGTATATTATATGCTTCAATAGCACATAGATTTCATTATATTCATCACAATAATGAAATAACTATGTAGTTTGTTCTTCATATTAGAATTTACACTCCATGAGAGCAGGGATCATATCTTATTTATGCATTATTATATTGCCAGTACCTCGAACAATGTTTTGTAAATTTAAGGAATTCAATAAATATATATGGAATGATTATGTGACTATTAGAACAATTTTTGTAGTATAATAGAATTTTTCATTATCTGGTAGTTTCCCCTCTCACCAAGCTATATGCCACTTGAGACCTTTGTCCTTACCTTGAACCGTCTCTCCATCATCATTGTCTTTACCCAAGCATATTTATGTGCATCTATTATATCTAATAAAAGAAAACATGCAAATTGACTGCACCTTTGCTATGCCCACAAGCCACGCCCACCAGCCAATCAGGGTAAGTATGCAAATTAACCCAACCTAGATGGTGGTTAATTTGCATATCCTGGCCAGAGCAAAGACTGAAGACAGCTTAGAAAGAAGCCAAACGCTGTAGAAGGGGGAGAAACAAGCAAGCAGGGTGGGGGAGAAGGGAAGGAAGCAGGCAGGGCAGGGAGAAGGGAGGAAGGCAGGCGGGACAGCGACCACAGCAGGAAGTCCTGCATCGGGCCTCTAGTATTTAGACAAATATAAATATAGTAGGGGCTCAGTGCATGAATTCATGCATCTTGAACTGTGGGCACAGGGGCAGGTCTTAGTCCAACCTCTGTGCCCCACCCAGCCCCCTTTCCCCCACCACCACAGCCCCCAGTCCCCTGTCTGCTGGCAGCTCTGCTCCCATTGCTGCTGCTCTCACCTACTGACAGTCTGGAGCAACTAGGGCTGGCACCAGTACTGGGTGTGAATGGGGGCGGTGCCATCAGTAGGTGCAAGTGGCAGCTGCTGCCCAGATTGCCCCTCAGGAACAGGGAGAGATGGAGTAGTCCTTATGGGCTATCAGGGATGGCAGCTGCCACTCACACCAGCTGATGGTGCTGAGCAATTGGGACCAGCACCAAGCACCGGTAGCAGATGCAATTGGCAGCTTTTTGACTAAGTATTTGAAGGTTGTATTTATCTAGGAATATATCCATTTTCTCCAGGCTGTCCAGATTTTTGGAATAGAGTTGTTCACAGTATTTTTTAACAAGCCTTTGTATTCCGGTGGGGTCTGTTATTATTTCTCCTCTTTCATTTCTGATTTTGTTTATTTGGGTTTTCTCCATTTGCTTATTGGTGAGTCTAGCTAGAGGTTCATCAATCTTGTTTAACCTTTCAAAGAACCAGATCTTGGTTTTGTTAATCTTTTGTATTATTTGGTCTCTAGGTCATTTATCTTCTCTCTGATTTTTATTATTTTCTTTTTTCTATAATACTTACACTGGGCTTTTCTAGTTGCTCTTTTCTAACTCTTTGAGTTGTAGGGTTAGGTAATTTATTACCATTGTTTTTTGTTGTTGTTGTTTTGTTTTTTGCAATAGGCTTATAGAGCTGTGAACTTTCCTCTCAAGACTGCTTTCACTGTGTCCCATAGCTTTTGGATTATTGTGTTTTCACTGTCATTTGTTGCCATGATGTTTTTTATTTCTTCTTTGATCTCTCTAGTAACCTAATCATTGTTTAATCACATGCTGTTTAGTTTCCACGTGTTTGATTTTTTGAATTATTTTTATTGTAGTTGGTTTTCAATTTTATGCCACTGTAATCTGAGAAGTTGCTTGATATGATTTTTATCTTCTTGAATTTGAAGAGACTTTGCCTATATCCCAGCATGTGGTCTATCTTTGAAAATGAGCCATGTGCACTTGAGAAGAATGTATATTCTATGGCTTTGGGGTGAAATGTTCTGAAGATGTCCATCATTTCATCTGGTCTAGTGAGTCATTTAGGACTGATGTTTGTTTGCTGATTTTTTGTTTAGAGGATTTGTCCAATGGTTATAGTGGGTATTTAAGTCTCCTGCTATGATTGTATTGCTGTCAATCTCTCCCTTGATATCCTCCAAGAGTTGTTTTTTTGTTTTTTTAAAAAATATATTTGGGTGTTCCTGTATTGGGTGCATATATGTTTATCAGAGTTATTTCTTCTTGTTGGATTGCTCCCTTTAGTATTATGAAGTGGCCTTCCTTATCTCTTGTTATGTTCTTCACTTTGAGATCTAATTTGTCAAATATAAGTATTGCTACCCTAGCTTTTTTTTCATTTCCATTCACCTGAAAAACCTTTTCCATTCCTTCACCCTCAGTCTGTGTGTGTCTTTTTTCTGAGGTGTGTTTCTTGTAGACAGCAGATATATGGGTCATGTTTTCTTATCTAATCCGTTACCCTATCCTCTTTATTAGGGTATTTAATCCATTTACATTAAAGTTATTATTGATAGGTACTTGTTTGTTGCCATTTTTATTCTTTACCCCTGTGTTCCTTCTTCACCTCTGCTTGCTTGCTTTCTTTCTTTCTTTCTTTCTTTCTTTCTTTCTTTCTTTCTTTCTTTCTTTCTTTCTTTCTTTCTTTCTTCCTATATAGTGGACTCTTTAGCATTTCTTGCATTGCTAGTTTGGTGGTAATAAACTCCCTTAGTCCTCTTTCGTCTGTGAAGCTCTTGATTTCATCTTCAATTTTGATTGGTAGCCTTGCTCGGTATCTGGCCTGATGTGTTTCTGTTGAGAAATTAGTCTCTAGTCTATTGGGGGATCCTTTGTAGGTAACTTTCTG